CCCTGGGCCATCAGGACTGGCCTCCCAAACTGCGAACTTGTTGGAAATGTGAATTCTCAGGCCCCATCCCAAATCCACTGAATCAGGAACTCTGGGGAAAAGTTCTAGGAATCTGTGTTTTGACAAGTCCTCCAGGACTACTGATGCACGCTCTAGTTTGAGAATGACTGGTGTACGGGACAGCACTTAGCTCTGAGTCTGGATCCTGGAAGGAGCCGAGTCAACCTGAGTTGAATCTGAATCTGGACTCCCTCCGCCCGCCAGCCTTAGGTCAGGTGCCTGTGAGCAGAGCGTCACCTGCTGGTGACAGCCGACCGTGTGCGCATATAAGGATCACACACACACGCACACACACACACAGGGATTCAGGGCTACACACACACACACACACACACACACACGGATTCAGGGCTACACCCATGAGCAAGGAAAGCAGTGCTGGATATCACGGCAAGTTGCCCGGAGGTCCTCTCCTCACTCCCCTCCACTCTCCCTGGAGAAATCAGGTTAAAGTGAATGTCAAGGGGCGCCTGGGTGGCTCAGTCGTTAAGCGTCTGCCTTCTGCTCAGGTCATGATCCCAGAGTCCTGGGATCGAGCCCCGCATCGGGCTCCCTGCTCCGCGGGAAGCCTGCTTCTCCCTCTCCCACTCCCCCTGCTTGTGTTCCCTCCCTGGCTGTGTCTCTCTGTCAAATAAATAAAAATTAAAAAAGTGAATGTCAAGGGCAGCTTTCAATGGCCAAGAGAGGTCACCAAAAGATAGCAGCAGTGTGTTTGTGTCAGTGATAATGGGCACTCCTGACCAAGGGTTTAAGTGTCAGACACACTGAAGGAAAAGCAAACAGCAGCTCTGCCTCGCTTATGCACGGGCTCCCACTGGGGTCACGGAGCTGAGGACAGCCTTGACGACTGGTCACAGGCCAGTAGGAGGGGCCATCCACAGTGCTTCGCCAACAGTGCCCCATGTGATCACCTGTTCTATTGGGCTACCCAGCTCCCCTGGGTGGGAGAACTTTGTATTCTTATGCTTTTTATTCCAGGTGTGTGTGTGTGTGTGTGTGTGTGTGCGCGCGCACGCGCACGTGCGCAGACACACACACACACACTCACATGTCTCCTGAACTGGACTGCAAGCCTTTTGCCTGGCTCTTTGGCTTGTACTGAGTGGCACCCCCTAGCGGTGTTGAATGGAATTGATGGGGCTTTGTGCTAACCTTAAGAATTTGGAACAAATGCTGAAAAGTTTTGAGCCACAACACGGAAAGATCCCAGACACGATAGAGGAGAGAGAGAGAGAGCCCAAGGCCAGGAGCCCACCAAGCCCTCTTTGAGTGGCTCAGAAAATAAGCTAGGTAACAATGACAGGAAATGGCAGGAGATACACCTCTGCAGTGAGGAAAGGTAAAAGCAATCAGGAGGCTCCGTCTGTGGAAGACACGGACTGGAGAAATTCAATCTTGAAGGATGCGCAGGGAGCTGTGGCAGAGAAAGTTGGCTGTGCCCGGCTTCCAAGAGCAGCGCTAGGGGTCATGATCCTAACGCTGAAGTGGATGAAATGGAAAGCAGCAAGTCTGGTGAGTCCGAGCTTGGTGCTTAGATCTCTGCTAAACCCTGAGAACCCCATGCAGGTAGCTAGCTGTTGAAGGGAAACAAGACTTTCCTCTTGAGGGAGGGCTCTCCAAGGTGGGGAGGGCCGGAGAACAGGAGCTGTTCCTTCTCATCATCTGGCCCACATTTGGCAGAGCCTTTCCCGTTAGTCCCTGTTGCACAGGTGCGAGAGGCCACGGCCCCAAATAACATTACTTGAGACTAAAGGACATCCAAAGAGGAGTTAAACAGAGCCAGAGTCCTCTGACTGGTTGGGGCTGGCATCTCCGGGAGACTGGCTCACTCACAGGGCACAGAGGCCCTGACCTGATATGAGGGCTGCCTGCCACCCCTTGCCCTGGCCCTTTTTTAAGGCCGGGAACAGCCTCACTTGGTAGCATCACCTCCTAGCCCTTCCTGTCTCCACTTAGAGGGTAGCGTGTCTCAGCCTTCCTGGCAGGAGCCACTCCAAGGCACCCTGACACTTTGTGATGAAACCGAAGACCGCCCATCTCTAAAACCATAATTTTGTGCCACCCGAGAAACCTCAGCATTAGGTCAGGTGACGCACCTCTAGAAACAAGACAGTTACGTGGTCACTAGTCTGTGGGAGACATGATCTTTGCCCTCCAGGAACTTAAATAGTGCTTGACAGTATTTGATTTAATACTAACATGAATTCATTCAACAAATGTACGTTTAGTGCTCCTACGAGTGCCAGGAGCAGCACCAGATGCTGGGGATACCGTGATGAATAAGACCGGCGTCCTTGCGTTCTGGAGCTCACCAGCTGCGGGGGGAAGGAGATGTGGAGCAAGTAACGCCAATGTGAGGGGACCAGGGGGCCCTGGGAGCCTTTAGCAGCAGCTGATGCGGCCCAGGGGGTGAGGGGTGTCTGAGCAGAGCCTGCAGGGTGAGGAAGAGCCAGGCAAGGGAACTGGGTGCCGAAGTGTGGAGGGAGGCATTTCTGAGCAGCACGGGGCTGTGGAGGGCTTCCTGCAGGGGCTGATTTCAGCTGGGCCTTGAAGAGCAGGTCAGCCCAAGGAAGCGGAGGGGACAGAAGCAGTGAGGCAGGAATCAGCATTTGGGGATGGCGGGACCATGGGCCTGGCTGCTCTGGTCTCAGGATTGTGTGCAAAGGAAGTACGGGAAAAAGAATCCCTTTTGGAGAGGCCGAATTTGAGTGGCTGGCCAGACATCCACCTGGAAATGTGCAGGGGGTGCTTTATCATTAGAAACGTGGACTCTGGGGCGCCTGGGTGGCTCAGTCTGTTAAGCATCTGCCTTTGGCTCAGATCGTGATCTCGGGGTCCTGGGATCGAGACCCATGTCAAGCCCCATGTTGGGGTCCCTGCTCCTCGGGGAGCCTGCTTCTCCCCCTCCCTCTGCAACTACCCCTGCTTGTGCATTCTCTCTCTCAAATGGATAAATAAAATCAAGAAAGAAAGAAAAGGAAAGAAGAAAGAGGAAAGAAGAAAGAAAGAAAGAAGAAAGAGAAGAAAGAAAGAAGAAAAAAAGAAGAAAGAAAGAAAGAGAAAGAAAAAAGAAGAAAGAAAGAGAGGAAAGGAAGGAAGAAAGAAACGTGGACCTCTGGTGTGGAGGGGCTCAGTCTTCTGAAGAAATTATAGCGAAGGAAGACTGGAGGCCAAGGTCAGGGTGCTGAGACACCTGGGCGGGGGAAGGGAGCCAGCCTGAAGACAGAGAAACCCATAAGAACACATTCTGTAGAAGCCCAGCAAACGGTTCTCCAGGAGGGAAAGGAGCGGCTCCTCCCGGCCAAATGTTAGCAAAGCTTCTATAGCTCCGGGAATTGGCAGGGGGGCACAGGATGATTCACATAAACGAGTGAGCATTCCTAATGCATTGTCGTCTCTACCCCTCTCCCAGTACCGCCCCTTCTCTCACCTTCCTGCTAAAAATATCCCCGGAGGCCCCAACCCCAGGTCTGCAGCAGTTGGCCATCCCTGGGGCTTCAGAGCAAGGAGGCCCAGGTTCTCTGCCTGGTATCAGTGGCCACCCATCCTGGACAGCTAATGATGGGACACCAGCATCGCCTTTGAGCGGAGGACATGAAAGTGGCCATGGGCTGCTGTGGGTAGGCAGGTGAGGTGAGCAGGCAGGAGCAGACCTGCCTGACAGCTCAGCACTGAGGTCACCTCTCTCCCACACCTGCCGGTCCCAAGTCACTTCTATCCTCCAGCTTCCCACAGAAGGGAGGGCGAGGCTCACTTGGAGCAAGAAAAGCTTACCCCCTTAAGTAAGGGGGCCCTGAGAAAAGCTGGGCTCCATCGGGGAGGCAAGGGCTTCCAGCACAGCCTGCCCTGGGACCTGCCTCAGCAGCCGCCTCACACCAGAAGCAGGGTTCTGGCCACTGGGGCTTGGGCCATGCCCAGGGAGCCGCTGGGAGGTTCCAGAAACCACGGTGCAGCCAACCTGATCCAGGAACACCTGTGCCACCCACGCCAATTAGCGTTTTCTGGGACCAGAACACCTGTACCCTCCTTAAGCCCTCCCGACCCCTGCTCAGCTAGAAAGGAAGTTTGGGAGGTGGCGTGATGGGGCGAGGGCTGAATGGGTGAGGGGATACAGCGGGAAGGGAGGCAGCTGTAACGAGGTTCGCAGTTTGGAGGCAGGTGGGTTATTCTGAGCAACTCACTTTTCTTCTTAGAGCCTGGATTTTCTCACCGACAAAATGGAATTGGGAGTATTACAAGGTCAACACGTTTCAGAGGATTGTCACGAATAAACAGAGAACCAGTGAACTTTCCAAACCGTCAAGGTCAGATGTTGCTGGTTTCCATGACCAACCAACGTCGCATTGGGAATTTTCAGTGTGAAGTGCATGGAGCCCTAGTTGGAGGGAATCTATGAACTGCCTGAAATAATGGGTAAAAATGCATGTGCCGGGGCATCTCTGTAGGTGAGGACCCATAGTTCGCAGCAGCTTTTTATTTTAATTTTTTTTCTCTCCCCCATCAGCAGCTTTTTAAAGCGGTCCGGGACCCTACAAAGTCTAAGACCCACTCACGGCGCAAGTCTGTCCCTGTTGTGTTTCAGAGGAGTCAGCGGAGACCCATGGTGGCACAGCTCGTCTGATGGCAGCACCATGGGTGAGGCCCTGGTCCCCCATCCTCCACTACTCCCCTCTGCCCCTCTCATGTCAGGTGAGGGGGGACAAAAGCTAGGAAGATCAGGGAGGGGTGAGGAGGCAGAGCCCCAAGTCCTACAGGGAACTGGGGCCCCTGTCCTCTGTGTTACCAGGATGAGGGCCTCACGGTGGAAGGACAGGAGAAGGATGAAGCCCCAGGCCAAGGGAGGCCTGGGAAGTCCCTCCTGGAAGCACGGGCTGCTGAATAAATGAGTCATCCTGGTCTCCCTTCCCACCCCCACCCCCTCCCCCACCCCCACCCCCACCCCCACTCGGAAGACTCAGAGGAGGAAACACAACTCTCTCTCTGACACTGCCTTGAGATAAACACTCTGGTTCTCGGTTTCCTCTTCTGGAAAAGTTGAAGATACCACGTCAAAGCTTTACGGAAAACTGTGAAAGGCCCCACACAAATGTAAGGTAGTCACCAGCCAAAAATGCAAAATTTATTGAGCAACTACTGACTGCCAGACACTTGCTGGATGCTTTGACGAAATTGGCATGAATGTCACCACTTCAAGAGGCCCGCCCTGACCGCCCGGTTAAGGTAAATCCACTCCTCTCCCCCACCCGCCAGTTATTCTCACACTTCCTGTGCCTTTCCTTCCCACCACTTATTATAATGTGTGACGTTTCTGGGTGTTCTTCTTATCGCCTCTCTCCTCCACTAGACTTGCCATGAGCAGGAGCCACGGATATCCATGCTAAGCACAGTGCCCGCCGCCAGTAGTCCCTCAAATACTTGTTAATGAGCACGTGACTGTCTCTGATCTTCACGGCAGCCCCAGGGAGGCATTATTATCATGCCCATTATACAGAAGAAGAAACTGAGGTTCAGCGAGTCAAAGAGACTCCCTTAAGGATGCAGTTTGTTTTTCACCAGACTTTAGCTCTGCTTCTTCCCCTTGAAGGATTTCAAGAACGAGAGGGTCAGAAGAGAAAGTGTGGGCCCAGCAAAATGGCTCCCCGGTTCAGCCGCCACCCCGTGCTCAGCCTTCCCCAGCTGAGTTCTTCCAACCTCTCATCACACTGAAGTAGCTTCGAGTCATCAACCCACAGCCACAGAGCTGAGGCCAGCCCAAACTGGCCTGTTTATTTCCCAAGCCAAGTGACAGCCAGCCCTTCCCCTCCCTCCAGAGCAATATACAGCTGGGAGCCCACGCCCCACTCTTCAAACCTGACACAGCAGATAAATTAGTGAAGTCTTTTATAAAACATTGTACAGGGAAAATACACACATATATATAGGGCCAGTGCTGGTGTTGGGTGGGGTTTGCTTCTCGAACACAGGTAACCAGATCCTGCCCCATCAGGGTGCCGGCACTCTCCTTCCCTGAAGTGGTTCACCTGCTGGCCCCAAACCTGGTACCTGGCTGGTTACCTCAAGTCATAAAGGTCCAACATCTTGCCCCCAAAGGGCCCTGCTTTCTGGCTGCCCCTGCAGGCCTGCTCCTGCGGTGGGCCACCCCCTGCCCTTCCTCCTACCGAGGCAGCCTGCCTTGGCCTGGTCCCAGGAATCCGGCCTGGGGAGGGGACGGGGAAGACAGACCGAGGAATACTGTGTCCTGATATGTGTGGGGAACATATGTCATCCAAATCAGAACTTCTTTTGGAAGTGGATGGGGGTCTAATTCACTGGCCAACAGGCATAAACCCACATTGCCCAGGCAAAAAGGGCCCTACTGATAGGTCTCCCCTGCTCGGAACTGGCCCAGTCCTACCACTCTAGACCTCCCAAAACGCACTCCCCGTCAGCAGCAGACACCTCTCAGATCCCAGTGCCCATCTCTGCTACCTCCCACTCTGCGTCTTCTAGCATCTTCACTATGCATTTTAAAGCCTCCATAATACTGGGGACCTATAGTGTTGGGATTGGGAAGGGTGGTTGGGTCGGATGCCCCCACCAAATCCCAAATGGGTTCTGGCTGTATTAGGCCTTTGGTGTCAAACCCCCAGGCCTTCTGGCTCCTTGGGCCCAAACTCCCAAATCATGGCTGCCTGGGTCTGAGTAGGAAAACATGACTTTATCCTCTGTCTCCCATCCCGTACTTGCCAAGTCTTCTCTCCCTAGGCTTCCCGGCAGCTGAGGTAGCTAAGGGCCAGGGCCAGGGCAACTGAACCATCGACCCTCCCTATCCCCACCTTTGGCCGATGCAAAGAACTCTGTTCCAGCACCTTCTCCACACGTTGTCCATGCCTATGTCCTGGTCCCACCTCAATGTGCCTTCTATGCTAGGTACCCCAGGAATCAGCTCTTAGGTTGGCAAATGGTGGATTGGTGGAGGCTAAAGAGATCAACCTGTAGTTCCCTGCACCCCTACCCAGGTGGAGCTGGGCCTCAGGCCTTTGGGAGCACCAGACAGCCGATCATAGCCATGGAGATGGACTCAGAGTTAGCACCCCGCCCCTTGCTTTTAGAACCTGCTCAGTAGGCCATGCTTGTAAAACTGCTTTAAGTAAGTCTTGCTAAAGCAAACAGTACCAGCTAGGGGAAACTCAGGCTCCAGGCCCTTAAAGGCTCCTCCTCTCCTCCCTATTTCCCCCTCCCCTTGTCCACAGCCACCCCAGTGCTTTGGGAAACAGAAGCCCACTCTTGATCTTTCCACCACTTCTCACTCGTCATCTGTCTGTGTTTGGGTAACAAAGACTCTTCCATGTTTAAGTCAGGACGCCTAACACCTGCCGCATCCCTCCCACCCCCACAAAAACAAGTGTCCAGATCTGACCCCTTGGAGTAGAGCTGAGAGCACCCGGGGTTCAGGACGGGGCTTTCCGGTGGTTCCCCGAGTAGGCATAGGAGATGGGATGGCGGGTCCCAGGCCTCACGGTGAATGTGTTGATGGGGCTTCCATAGTGGGGGGTGCTGTGGGGAGACCTGGGATGGGGGAGCAGGAGAGAGGGTGGTTAATATTTGCAGCTAGTTAACCAACAGCCCTCCCATCTCCCTCAGGGCACAAGAGGAAAAGATGTGTAGCTCAGCGCTGTGGTATCTGCCCACACAAGCCCCGGTGGACAGGGTGGGACCTGGGTGGACCAGTACTGATTCAAGACACAGGGCTCCTCCTCCCAGCTAGGCTTGGCTGGCCACAGAATAGTGCCTAATACCCTTCTGTTCGGAACTCTTCACTCCTAGCCTGGGTCTGGATCCTTCTCTGTGTCGCTGGGAAATCACCATAGGCACACAAGGGCCACTCAGGTCTCCCCTCCACACCACTCTTAGCCTGAAGCCCTGAGTCTCTGGAGAGTGGGAAAGAGGAGGTAGAAGAGGGGAAGCTGGTGGGGAAAGCAGGAGGGCAGGGAAAGAGAGAACAAGGGAGATGGTGGGAAATAAGCAGGTCAGGCAACCGCCAACAGCGCTCTTTCCAGGTTAAGTGCGCCTCCCGCGTCCCTTTCTCTGCCCAGAGAGCCAGAGGAGCGAAAACCCAATGTCCCCGCACTGGTGGCCACGGCCTGGTGGGCTCCTCTGGGGCCCCGAGGGCAGGGCCTCCACTCACCTGGCTTCCCACCCCGGGCTGCGTTCCTCGCCCCGCCCCCAGCTCACCTGCCGGCCGCGGGGGCGAAGCCATAGTCGCCGCCGGGCGCCTTGAACTTGGCCTCCCCGCGGGCGGCGCCCTCCATGGGCAGCCTCCGCGCGTGCAGGCCTCCGGGGAGCGCGCGGCCCGCCGAGTTGACGCGCCGCATTTCCGGGCCTCCCGGCGGCGGCCCAAAGCAGTTGGGGGAGCTCAGGCTGCGGCCGGTGCCGCCGCGGGGCTGCCCGGGGCTGCGGTGGGGCTCCCCGACGTACAGGCGCTTCTTGATGAGCGAGCGGCCCCCGCCCGAGAAGTGCTCCAGGCCCCCGGCCCTGGCGTGGAGCGCGCCGGCCGGAAAGCGCGAGAAGCCACGAGGCGCTGAGGGCTGCCCCAAGTCTGGGAAGTTGTTCCGGGGAGGGGATCCCCGGCGCCCCAGATACTGGAGGGTCGGGGCGGGGGGCTCAGGGTCGTTGCTGAACTCTGGCGGCGGCGGGATGACCTCAAAGTGGGACTCCCCGTCGTCGTCATCGTCGTCGTCGTCCCTCTTGCAGGAAGGAGAAGGAGGGGACGAGAAGGATTTGGGCAACAGGCGGCCCCGGGGGAGGTTGGAGGATGCCGGCCTTTCCCAGGCCACAGGGGCCTGAGGCTCCGCCTTTGTCCCGTTGTGCCTGAGGCTTGGCTCCGTGCCCGCCGGGTCTCCGAGGGGCTGGGGCTTCCACTGACTGGGTAGGGTGGGCTGTGCCGACGAGGCCAGCTGGGCGTCCTTCTCAGCCTCCTTGGGTAACTTGGGGACCACAGTGAAGGAGTTGGGCCGGCCCTCATTGTGGAAGATGCTGTCAGAGCCTGCTTGGGGCTGGCTGCTGTGGCCACAGAGGCTCCCTGGCAGGGAGGACCGGCCCAGGGCCAGCCCTCCTGGCCTTCCCTTCTGGGCCCTCTGCCTGGCTGCAAGGAGCAGGGCCATCGGGGAGCCTGGCTGCACCACCTCCCCGGTCACCGGATGCCTGAGGAGTTCATCGGCAGGCTGGGCTGAGGTGGGGGGCTTGGCTGGCTGCCCCTGGGGCTCCTTCACCTCCGCAGGTTCCCTTGACCCTACGGCTGAACCTGTGGCCCGCGGTGCCATCCCAGCAGCAACCTCTTGGCTGGGGCTTTTCTGGCTGCGACAGAGCGTGTAGAGAAATGTCACCTCTTCTCCGCCAGGAGATCTCTTTGGTGGGAGGGCTGGAGCTGAGACGGATCCCAGGGTAGGCGGCTTACTGGGCTCTGTGGGGCGCCCTTCTGCCTCTATCTGGCGGGGCACCGTAAGTTCTTGAGGTTTGGGCTTCTCCCACTGCCCAGCTGGGACTGGGTTCTTCTCTATCAGCGGGGATGATGTGGTGGGCGCAGTTATGGCTGCAGATGGTATGGCGGGCCCGGGCACAGCATTAGGTGGTGTGGCTGGCCCAGGCGTGGGCTTGGGTGGTAGGGCTGGCCCCGATGTGGCCTTGGGTGGTAGGGCTGGCCCAGGAGTGGCCTTGGGTGGTGTGGCTGGCCCAGGCACGGCCCTGGACTGAAGTGGTGTGGTTGGCAGAGGGGTGGTGGATAGAGGGGGCAGATTCTTGGCCACAGGCTTAGAGAAGTTGCCATTATCCCCCCTGTTTTCAAAGATTCTTCCCCCTTCTAGCCGAGGTTTGGGAGGCAGAAACCCTACGCTGGGCTTGGCTTCCTTCTCTGCTGACGAGGAGAACCGGGCCTCCAGCTCACTGCGGATCTGCTGGACACTGGGAGTTGGGGCATCTTGGGGGAGGTAGTCCACAGGAGGGAGGGTCAGGCTGGTGGCAGCCCCCTTGTCGGGCAGGCTGCAGGGACTCTTCTCAGGAACGCTTGGAAGGGTCTCCTGCTCTGGCAGGCTTGGAGGAGCCTCTTCCTCTGGCAGGCTGGGGTCCTTCTTGCCCTCCTTTTCCTCAGAGGCCGCCGTTGAGCCTGCCCTGTGACTGAGGAATCGGTCCTCCCTCCTGGAGCCACAGAGATAGGCTGCCAGCTCACTCCGCAGCTTTTCCATCTGGCTGGGATCCCTCCAGTCCACAGGCGCTGAAGAGGCTGTGTCCTCTGGGCTGGGGGGGGTCGGTTTGGGTTTGGGAGCAGGGGAGCTGGATTTGCGGCTTTTTGCAAACCCAGAAGGTGGAGGAGCTACCTTCTCAGCAGAAGGTAAAGGAGGGGCAGCTGGGGAGAGGGGCGGTGCTGGGGGGGGTTGCGGGGGTGCGGGAGGGGCCGGGGGAGGGGCTGGCGGTGGCGTCTCAGCATGTTCCTTAGTCCAGGACTGGGACTGGCCCAGCGTGGGGCTGGCTGGTGCTGCAGCCCTGAGCTCCCCTGGGTGGTCTGGCTCAGGGGCCCTGTCCGGGTAGACCTGGGACGCAGGGCGGATGTGGAAGCTGGGAGGCAGTGGGAGTAGATTGGGAGCTTTCTTGGTGGCCCCTTCTTCCTCTAGAGGAGTCCCCTGTGCTTCCTGAGCTGGGATGGATGAAGTCCTGACTGGGGTCGGGGGAGGCACCTTGAATGAGCGCGGGAAAGTGAGGTGGGGGTCTGGCTTAGGTCCCAGAAGACTCCCCTTTGGCTCAGCTGGGCTCTGGGGGGGGCTGGTTCTGGGGGTCTCTGGCTGCCTGCCATTCAGTGCTACTTCCGATTTCCACTTGGTGACACCCCCAGGGGGAAAGAGGCGAGTCCCTGTTGTCTGAGGAGATGCTGGGAGTGCTGGGGCTGGCAGAGGG